TTAGTCCTGGTTTAGACCTGGTTTAGACCTGGTTTAGTCCTGGTTTAGTCCTGGTTTAGACCTGGTTTAGACCTGGTTTAGATTAATTTGGTCCAAAACAGAGACACTGGGACATTTTGTATAAACTTGGACAAATCAGTATTTTTTGTCCCTCGGATCAGTCTGGTCACTCGGGTCAGTCTGGTCCCTGGGGTTGAATATTAAAGTGTAAATTGGACTCACGTGAGCAGTAGAGGCAGGTCTGTGGAGAGGCGCTCCCGTGGAATCTCCTCCGCGTCTCTGTGGACAACTGTCTCTGTGTCTCCTCGTGTGTCTCCTCGTGTGTCTCCTCGTGTGTCTCCTCGTGTGTGTCTCCTTGTGTGTCTCCTTGTGTGTCTCCTTGTGTGTGTCTCCTCGTGTGTCTCCTCGTGTGTCTCCTTGTGTGTCTCCTCGTGTGTCTCCTTGTGTGTCTCCTTGTGTGTCTCCTTGTGTGTCTCCTCGTGTGTCTCCTTGTGTGTCTCCTTGTGTGTCTCCTCGTGTGTCTCCTCGTGTGTCTCCTTGTGTGTCTCCTTGTGTGTCTCGTGGACAGTGGACAGTGGAGAGTGGCGCGTGAGGAGCACACAGACCCCCGGAGCCTTGAACCCGCCCCTCACCGCGTGTCCTGGGCGTTTGGACCGGACCGGACCCGCCTCCTCCTCCTCCTTCTCTCCTCCTCCTCTCCTCACCTCCTAATCTCTTCTCCTCCTCCTCCTCCTCTTCTCTTCCACTCTCTTCTTCCTCTTCTTTCCATTTTTCAGATAAACTTTTTTTTTTTTTTTTTTTTTTTTTTTAAACCTGTCCGGGTGAAATGCCTGGGATTTTGGGTTTTTCAGCGGCGGCTCGCCTCCTGGCCCCGCCCACGCGCTCAGGCTCAGCCAATCACAGCCCGCCTCAGCATCACGCACGTTTCACACGCGCCTTATCTGTCTCCATGGCAACGGGCCAAAACACAAAAACAGGAAGAGAAAAGATCAAACCCTGACGTCACAGAGGGAGTATTATACACGTAGGGAGTATTATACACGTAGGGAGTATTATACACGTAGGGAGTATTATACACGTAGGGAGTATTATACAGAGGGAGTATTATACACGTAGGGAGTATTATACACGTAGGGAGTATTATACAGGGAGTATTATACACGTAGGGAGTATTATACAGAGGGAGTATTATACACGTAGGGAGTATTATACACGTAGGGAGTATTATACACGTAGGGAGTATTATACACGAGGAGTATTATACACGTAGGGAGTATTATACACGTAGGGAGTATTATACAGAGGGAGTATTATACACGTAGGGAGTATTATACACGTAGGGAGTATTATACACGTAGGGAGTATTATACACGAGGAGTATTATACACGTAGGGAGTATTATACACGTAGGGAGTATTACAGTAGGAGTATATACACGTAGGGAGTATACACGAGGGAGTATTATACACGTAGGAGTATTATACACGTAGGGAGTATTATACACAGAGGGAGTATTATACACGTAGGGAGTATTATACACGTAGGGAGTATTATACACGTAGGAGTATTATACACGTAGGGAGTATTATACACAGAGGGAGTATTATACACGTAGGGAGTATTATACACGTAGGGAGTATTATACACGTAGGGAGTATTATACACGTAGGGAGTATTATACACGAGGGAGTATTATACACAGAGGGAGTATTATACACGTAGGGAGTATTATACACAGAGGGAGTATTATACACGTAGGGAGTATTATACACGTAGGGAGTATTATACACGTAGGGAGTATTATACACAGAGGGAGTATTATACACGTAGGGAGTATTATACACAGAGGGAGTATTATACACGTAGGGAGTATTATACACAGAGGGAGTATTATACACGTAGGGAGTTATACACGTAGGGAGTATTATACACGTAGGGAGTATTATACACGTAGGAGTATTATACACGTAGGGAGTTATACACGGGGAGTATTATACACAGAGGGAGTATTATACACGTAGGGAGTATTATACACAGAGGGAGTATTATACACGTAGGGAGTATTACACGTATTATACACGTAGGGAGTATTATACACGTAGGGAGTATTATACACAGAGGGAGTATTATACACGTAGGGAGTATTATACACAGAGGGAGTATTATACACGTAGGGAGTATTATACACGTAGGGAGTATTATACACGTAGGGAGTATTATACACGTAGGGAGTATTATACACGTAGGGAGCATTATACACGAGGAGTATTATACACGTAGGGAGTATTATACACGTAGGGAGTATTATACACGTAGGGAGTATTATACACAGAGGGAGTATTATACACGTAGGGAGTATTATACACAGAGGGAGTATTATACACGTAGGGAGTATTATACACGTAGGGAGTATTATACACGTAGGGAGCATTATACACGTAGGGAGTATTATACACAGAGGGAGTATTATACACAGAGGGAGTATTATACACGTAGGGAGTATTATACACGTAGGGAGCATTATACACGTAGGGAGCATTATACACGGAGGGAGTATTATACACGTAGGGAGCATTATACACAGAGGGAGTATTATACACGTAGGGAGTATTATACACGTAGGGAGCATTATACACGTAGAGGGAGTATTATACACGTAGGGAGTATTATACATGTAGGGAGCATTATACACGTAGGGAGCATTATACACGTAGGGAGCATTATACACGTAGGGAGCATTATACACGTAGGGAGCATTATACACGTAGGGAGTATTATACAGTTTTAAAAATGTTTTATTCACCAAAACAAAACAGATTCACAGGTTTTTTTACGTTTCAGTCGTGAATCTCCCAAATGTTGTAACTTCGTAAGAAAAACGGCCGCAGACGATCAGAGCTGTGATTGGTCGACTCGACTCACGTTTCCTGTTCTTCACTTTCCCGCTTCATCGTGTAACAGGAGCAGCAGGTTTGACTCGTCGCCCCCTGGTGGTGTGGAGGTGAAGTACTGCGGCGCGTGAACATCGACGACGAATCCAAAACGAGCCCGCACGCAAATATAAATCCACGTTTAACGGTTTGTTTACACGAGAACGTTTCCGATTAAAAATGACAACATATTTTATCTTAAGTGTTTTTCGTTTAGACGGTGACGGCGTTTTGGAGATTAAAAACACTCAAATCTGAACCCACCTTCAGATCCAGAGTGGAAAAGTTGAATATTCTCCGTCGTAGTGTTTCCGTCTGCACCGTCCAAGACGCAAAACTCTGGTCACATGAGCTCAGGTCGTGTACGAGTTTACGTCACAAACAAACAGAACACACAAACCTGACACACACACAAACGCACACATACACACACATATACACACACACACACACACACACAATTTAATTCCACACACTTTTGCGTCGCCGTCTCGACTCGACTAAACACTGAATAAAAAGTGAAGACGCAACGACACTTTTACTTCTTCTGTTCAGACGTCATCGTGTAAATTTAACCTGAGTCTTACCATCCTTTGCTCTCTGTGCTGAGTCCCTCCCCCTTCAGAGCGTCGCACTAATGAAACTCACGTCAGGTTTGTCCAGTTCTGTTCAGTTTTGTGTTGTGTTATTATGTTTTTATAGAGGATTGTGGTGGAGCGTGTGGGCGGGGCCTCGTCCTGTGGGCGGGGCCTCGTACAGACTGTGGGAGTGTGTGGGCGGGGCCTTGTACAGACTCGTACTGTGGGCGGGGCCTTCTACAGACTCATACTGTGGGAGTGTGTGGGCGGGGCCTCGTACAGACTGTGGGAGTGTGTGGGCGGGGCCTCGTACTGTGGGACATGATCACCTCCTGACACCAAGACTCGTAAAAACTGTGACTGTAAATAGAAGTTTTTATTTGAGTCAAACACCTCAGACAAATATACAAATATTCTGTTTGTGTGAAGCAGCCGCTCCAGAACCAGAACCAGAACCAGAACCAGAACCAGAACCCAGAACCCAAAACCGGAAACCCGACAACAGCCCAGACTCACCAAGACAGGTCCTGGATCATACCTGGCATAGTCCTGGTTTAGACCTGGTTTAGACCTGGTTTAGACCTGGATTTAGACCTGGTTTAGACCTGGTTTAGACCTGGTTTAGACCTGGTTTAGACCTGGTTTAGACCTGGTTTAGACCTGGTTTAGTCCTGGTTTAGACCTGGTTTAGACCTGGTTTAGACCTGGTTTAGACCTGGTTTAGACCTGGATTAGACCTGGTTTAGTCCTGGTTTAGTCCTGGTTTGGTCCTGGTCTTTTTTGTAGACATCAGTTTTAGATTTTTTCTTCTTCAGATATTTAAAGGCACAGAACATTTCATCACAAAAACAAAAACACAGAAACACAAAAATCCTTAAAATCTTTAAAATCCTTAAATCTTTCTCTCCTCAGTCTGACTCTGGTCGTCGTGACTCTGGTCGTTGTGACTCTGGTCGTCCTGACTCTGTTTGACTCTGTTCTTCTTGACGTTCTCTTCACGTTCTCCTCGAGTCCTTGAGCAGCTCTTTGTGCAACATTTATTTAATATTTTTACATTTAAAGAAAAAACAAAACAAAAAAACAAAAATGAGCTGAAGTTTTGGCAAAAACCCGAACCTGCGACGTCGGGAATCGAACCTTCAACTCTTCAAACGTCCAACAACAAAATGTCTCCTTCAAAATCCACCAGGGCTTTTCACAAACCAACAAACCAACGAGAACCTGTGAGCTGCAGGAAGACGCCCCAACGAACGCACAACTACACACAACTACACACAACTACACACAACTACACACAACTACACACAAACACACACAACTACACACAACTACACACAACTACACACAACTACACACAAACATACACACAACTACACACAAACACACAACTACACACAAACTACACACAAACTACACAAACTCTGTCCCTCGTTTGTGTTTCATTTGTGTTTTGTTTGTTTCGTTTGTGTTTTTTTTGTGGGTTTTTTTGTGTTTCGTTTGTGTTTTTTTGTGTGTTTCGTTTGTGTTTTTTTGTGTGTTTCGTTTGTGTTTTTTTGTGTGTTTCGTTTGTGTTTTTTTGTGTGTTTCGTTTGTGTTTTTTTGTGTGTTTCGTTTGTGTTTTTTGTGTGTTTCGTTTGTGTTTTTTTGTGTGTTTCGTTTGTGCTGCAGAAAGTTCCGTTTGTGTGATTCTGGTTCTTCAGACTTTTTAATTTATTCTTATTTTTTAACTTTAAGCCAAAACAAACTGGACAAACGTGTAAAATTAAACATTAATTCATGAGGTTTGGGATTAAAGAAGTTTTCTTCTTCCTGCTCCTTTTTGGGCAAAATAATAATAATAATAATAATAATAGTAAAAAAAACGTTGTGTTATTTTCATTTCTATTATAATTTCACTGATGTTTTATGTTCCATTGTATATAAATGTAAATCTTTCCTTGCCCAAAATAAATGCATAAATAAAAAATGCATAAATAAATGAAACATTCAAAATTAAATCAACACAAGAAACTGAGGACGAGGTTAAAGATTAAATCAAAATTCTTCTGTGATATTGATTGTTTTTAGATTGAAGAGAATTCGTAATGTCCATCCATCCATTTTCATCCGTTTATCCGGGGTCGGGTCTCGGGGCAGCAGCCTGAGCAGAGACTCCCAGACTTCCTTCACCCCAGACACTTCCTCCAGCTCCTCCAGTGGGACCTGAGGTGTTCCCAGTCCAGTCCAGAGACATGGTCCCTCCAGTGTGTCCTGGGTCTCCTCCTCCCGGTGGGACATGAACACCTCCCGAGGGAGGCGCCCAGGAGGCATCAGAACAGATGCCCGAGCCTCAACTGGCTCCTCTCGACGTGGAGGAGCAGCGGCTCTACTCCGAGCTCCTCCCGTGTGACTGAGCTCCTCACTCTGTCTCTAAGGGAGACACCCAGACGCCCTGCGGAGGAAACTCATTTCGACGCTTGTATCCGCGATCTCGTCCTTTCGGTCACTACCCAGACTCATGACCAGAGGTCGTAATGTCAAAATTTTTAAATCTGAGTCTGAAATTTTAGAATTTAGATTTGTAAATATGAAATGTTCCCAACAGAACAAACAGGTTCATGAAATATTCAATTTGATTTTGTTCAGGATGAAGAGTTTTTCTGTTTTGATTTGTTTGTTTTTTTTTTAGTAAAAGTGTTTTTAGATCAGAGTTTATTTGAGGTTTTCTGCTTCACGTTGGCCAAAGGTGAAAAATGTTTCAGTTTCCTTTAGACAGAAGTAAATAATTTAGGTAAAATTTAGTGAATTATTTTCCAGTTGGTTTTTTGATCTTGTTCTTCATTAAACAGATTTACTCCAGTTTGTGTTTGTGAAGAAGATTCATGTTTTTTTTTTTTTAATATTCACATTTTTATTTTGTGTCGATGAGTCAAAATGTGAATCAGCCTCAAAACAGCAGAAAATTAAACCAAATCTTTGTGTTTTGTGTGATTGTTTTTTTAATCAAATTATTCAAAATTCCACAAAACTGGTGAAGAGAAACGACCTGAGGCTGAGGACAAATCTGAATGAATTTGATTTGGATTCAGATTTTATAAAATAACAAACTTTGACCTGTAAAAGAATCTGTAAAATCTACAAAACTAAAACACAAATGGAACTTTCTGAAACACAAACGACTGATGCAGTTGTGTGTAGTTGTGTGTGTAGTTGTGTGTAGTTGTGTGTAGTTGTGTGTAGTTGTGTGTAGTTGTGTGTGTGTGTAGTTGTGTATAGTTGTGTGTAGTTGTGTGTAGTTGTGTGTATAGTTGTGTGTGTAAATGTGTGTAGTTGTGTGTGTAAAATGTGTGTAGTTGTGTATAGTTGTGTGTGTAGTTGTGTGTATAGTTGTGTGTAGTTGTGTGTATAGTTGTGTGTAGTTGTGTGTATAGTTGTGTGTAGTTGTGTGTAGTTGTGCGTTTGTTGGAGGCGACTTCTTGGAGATATAAACTTGTGCTTTGCTCCGTTTTGGCAAATCAGAGAAACAGGAGGGGGGTCGGGGGTCAGGGGTCGGGGGTCAGGGGTCAGGGGGTCAGGGGGTCAGGGGGTCAGGGGGGTCAGGGGGGTGCGGGAGGGCATCTGGCTCTTCTGTTTGGCACATGTGTATATTTATATTTATATTTATATTTAAATATATTTGTTGTTTTCAGGCTGGTCCCAGTTTGGAGATGAGCTCGTCGCAGATCTTTGTCAGCTCCTCGATCTCCTGATTCTGAAAAACACAAAAAAACACAAAAAACTACAAAAATCTACAGAAACACATCGACCTTTGACCTGACACCAGACCGCATCACTTCCTGTGTGCAAACGTGACGCGACGCCGCCCCCGAGTGTTCACGGGCAGAACTGCGGTTTACACTCAGATCGAACGGGGAGGATTTAGTCCCAGAGGTTCAGGGTCTATTCCCCACAGTGTGTCACTGCCGTGTCCTTGAGCAAGACACTTTTGTGAGGTGATTTTTTTTGCCCCGGGG